AATAATAATAATAATAAATAAATCATACAATTGTTAGAGCAGATAACAGAACCAGTTTCTTTCGTCCTTTCCCCATTTCTCATTCTTTGCAAAGAGTGAAGTCTGAAAATAGGAGCGAGGGCCAAAAGAAAGTATGGGTTTAGGCTTAAAGCCCTAAAGCAAATTATTTTATGTCCAAGTCCTCTCCTCCCTTCCCCTACTCTCAGTGAATACTTAGATCCATGGTCCTCAACACTGGCTTCACTATACAGTCAACTGATGAGTTAAAAACAAGTTCTAATCATGTCCAGTCTCCACCTCAGAACAATTAAATAGGAATGGGAGAGAGCGGTAAGATGTGGCTGGGATTGAAATTGTTTTCAAAGCTTCCAGTTGATTTTTATGTGCTGCTGGGACTGAAAGCCACTGATCTAGGAACAGTCCTTTTCTCTGTGGGTCCCTTTACATATGAAGTGTGTGTGTTCTGATCCTTGAGAGCATTTAACCCAGAGAAGACTTGGTGGGAAGGGAAATGACCCATTTTATTTGATCTTTTTAATTTTTTGGAAATGATCCATTTTAATGGATAGCATAAAGAAATATTTAAGTAGGTTAGATTCATTATTGGTGGTTATTAGTTGCAGTTTGTCGATATGATTTTGGAAATAATTCTTTCCCCCAATTAGACCGACATAATGAGAAATGAATTTGAAAGACTGGCTGCTCGACAACCAATAGAATTACTCAGTATGAAACGGTAAGTCGTGTTTCTGGTTTCAGCTGGACCCAAATCATTGTTTAATTTTAAGTTGCTTGTAAAACTGCTATAGCTCTTAAAATGTGGAAAAGAAAAAATTCTTGTCTGATTTTATGTTTATGTTTCTTCATATATAATATGAACATATAATAATAGTGGTTCCTATAATCCTTTGTTAATATTCAAATATATTCTGTGCCCCATTCTTCAAAAAGGCAAAATAGGGGCGCCCAGGTGGCTCAGTTGGTTAAGCATCCCACTCTTGATTTTGGCTCAAGTCATGATCTTAGGGTTGTGAGATCAGTTCCCTGCGTAGGACTCCACATTAGGTGTGGAGCCTGCTTAAGATTTTCCCTTTCCCTCTCCCTCTGCCCCTCCCTGCTCCCCCTCCCCAATCACTGCCACAAGCATGTGCTCTCTTTCTCTCTTAAAAAAAACAAAAACAAAACGTAAAATATTGTAAAATCCAACAACAGGAATGGTAATTGTAATGAAGTTCATGTTTTTAATAATTTTCAAGGAGGGGCACCTGGGTGGCACAATAGTTGAGTGTCCAACTCTTAGTTTCGGCTCAGGTCGAGATCTTGGGGCCATGAGATCAAGCCCCACATTGGGCTCCACACTCATCACAGGGTCTGCTTGGGATTCTCTCTTCCTCTCCCCTATCCCCATGCTTGTTCTCCCTTGCTCCCTCTCTCTAAAATAAACAAATAAATCTTAAAAAAAAAAAAAAAAAATTTTTTTTTTCAAGGAAATGTTCCTGAATAGACATCTAGTTTTTCACTGATCACATGTCTAGGTGAAACCATGTTATGGTTTATAATGATCCCTGATTCACTCTGACACAAACCAACATTAGTAAACACGGAGTGCCCGATAGTTTGATTTTGGTTCCACTATTATCTTCCCTCTTGTGCCACTTTACTACAAAACTACTTCTCTCTTAAGGAAACAAAAGTCCAAACATCCTTTGTTACTTCCTCTAAAATGGAGAATTGGATTGCTTAACATCTGAGATCCCTTTCAACTTTAAGATAACTATGGAATTATGGGAACCACTAAGTAGTCTGTCAGAGCAGAGTCCTTTGAGAGAGGGCCACATGCACAGTAGGTCTATCCTCTCAGATGTATAGATTAGAAGAGGGATTTTGAGTCTGTAGAACCAGAGGACCATATTTCTTATGCTCCATTTCCTGTCTAGCCTGAGTGATAAAGGCAGGAGAAGTTCCAGGATTCCTCAGTTCTTCATTTTCAGGTGTTTCCGCTCTATAGATACTCATGACAGTAACTCCTTTATGGCAGTGACCCACCAAGCAGGTGGGTCATAAAGGAAACTTCGTTCTCACAGCACTTTTTTAAGGAAATAGAACAGAAAATATCAGAATATACTGCATGTAAAGGTGAGTATTGTTTTTGTGAAACATTTTTTTTTTAAAGATTTTATTTATTTATTTGTCAGCAAGAGAGAGAGCGAGCACAAGCAGGGGGAGGGGCAGGCAGAGGGAGAAGCAGGCTCCCCACTGAGCAAGGAACCCGATGCAGGACTCAATCCCAGGACCCTGGGATCATGACCTGAGCCGAAAGCAGTCGCTTAACTGAGCCACCCAGGCATCTCTGTTTTGTGAAACATTTGTTGAGCTTTGTATATTTGTATACTAGATCACAGATACTTCTTACTGTGGGTTATAATCAGAAGTTTGAAAACTGCCACATTTATGGTATATGTGTAAAGCTTTTTCTTTTTTTTTTAACAAAATGGTTTGTCACTTCTTTTTCTTCTTTTTTTTTTTAAAGAGAGAGAGTGAGATAAACTTAAGCAGGCTCCACTCCTGGTGTGGAGCCCAACACAGAGATTGAGGGAATTGATCTCACGACCCTGAGATCATGACCTGAGCTGAAATCAAGAGTTGAATGCTTAACTGACTGAGCCACCCAGGCACCCCTGGTTTATCACTTCTTGATCCCAGTTACATACCCCTTAGTTGTTCATAGAAATAACGTGGAGTTTTTACAGTATCTAGTCAAAATATTAAAGTAGAAATTAAAACTTAGTCTGTAGTAACTCATCAATAATGAGCTGAGATTTATGAAGAGTGTACTTACTGGCTATATCAGCAGTGTTGAAGGACTGTGTAGTGTGAAGAGAGAGAATAGAGTGAGGGCCAAGTGCAAAGAATTATTATATCCCTTATATTTTTTTCTCTAGAGTGGTGTGGGTGTGTGGGTGGGAAGCTGGATGAATGTAAGTGTTTTTTACAAAAATGATGGCATGGGTTTTTTTGTATCCTTTTTTTCTCCTAATATATCACAAACATGTTAATGTTTTAAGTATTCTTCAGTAGCATCATTCAGTAGCTAATTTAACAATGCTTTACATGAATATACTATAGTTTGAATCAGTTCATGTTGAAATGAACAGTTTTTTGTTACTGTATATAATGGTGTTAAATCAGCCACCAGGGGTGCCTGGGTGGCTCAGTCGTTGGGCGTCTGCCTTCAGCTCAGGTCATGATCCCGGGGTCCTGGGATCGAGCCCCATGTCAGGCTTCCTGCTCAGCGGGAAGCCTGCTTCTCCCTCTCCCACTCCCCTTGCTTTTGTTCCCTCTCTCGCTGTATCTCTCTCTGTCAAATAAATA